TTGTCAGACAGGCCGGTTTATTCAGATATTGTCTACATCTAGTATTTGTGTTTTTTTTTTTTTTAACATTTCCAGACAAAAAGAGAAAGAAGTGTGCCAGCTGTTGGTCCACTTCAGATACAGCCTGCATCATTGTGAAGCTGAAGAATAACTGTTTAAAAAAATGAATTACTTAAACAATTCTTTGTGACCTGAAATAATTTTTTTTGTTTTTACTGATGTTAAAATTATTGTAGTTTACAGCAAAAACTTTTGTAAATTTAAGCTGACAGTATAAATACATATATTGTAGTGTGTACATTTGCAATTCTATAGTTGAAATATTTGTTAAACACACACACACACACACACACACACACACACACGTTTGTTCTTCAACCCCGTGGGGACTGTGCATTGACTTCCATTCATATTTTTTAGTCTTTCTAGCCTAATCCTGACCATATATCCTAAAATTAACCTCACAGGTACCTACCYGACTAAATCTTGGTCCTAAACCTAAGCCCACACCCGTAATTTGTATTTGGACCCGTGGGGACTTGGCATCGGTCCCCACAATGCACTTCAGTCCCCACGAGGCTGCTTTTTTGGGAAAATTGTCCCCACGTTTTAGGAAAAACCCATCCACACACACACACACACACAAGCATAAACATTCTCCCTCCACCTTTGCCACTGGTGATGGGCAGTAATAAATCTGCACGTGTTGTGCAGGAACATCACACAAACCAGCCGAACCAGACGGGACTTCATGGGATTTACTTGCGGGCGTTTTGCACGGGGCTGGACTCCATGCTGCAGCCGTACAGACAGGCYCTGCTGGACCTGGAGCAGGAGGTAAAATTAGCAAACAAACCACAAAACTACCTTTTAAACATGCGAGAGGTTTCTTTTTAACAAGTGTTTGTGTTGTAGTTCCTGGGAGATCCACATCTGACAATATCACACGTAAATTACAAGCTCGACCAGGTAGGTCCAACTTTTTCTCTGAAGGTTCAAAAAGTAATTCCAATTAGGGTTGGGCATAATCATATTGTGTGCGATTAATCATCAGAAAAACATTAATGTATTATTTTTTGGCACTTGACGATTAATACGATTAATGCCACCAGGTGGAGTGAGTGGAGATTTCTCCAGTCAGTCCGCTTGGTGCTCCTCTCCGCTTCAAATATGACGAAAAAAAAGTTGCGTAATTTATTTATCTATCAACACAATTTAAAATTTGACGTATAGCCTGAAGCCTGTATTTTTGACACAATTTGGAACAGATTTTTACGAAGAATCTTTCCCTTTTAAATTGGTCATGTGACTAAGACAAAAGGGACTCCAGGGGATTAATCGTCAAATTAATTGTTATCGCCTAAAAACCACAATTAATCATGATTAATTTTTTTTGGCAATATTGCCCAACCCTAATTCCAGTAATATTTTAGTTTGTCTAAAGCTATGCTGTTGTTTGTTAAGTTTCAGTTGCTGTTTCCTTCTGTTCTGGTGATGGTAGAAACAATAAAATCRCAGAAGGTAAGAAACATTAAGAGAATATTTGTTATGGAAATGTGAGACAATTTTCTGCCTCCACATAATTGGGTCTGCAGTTATCTCATGATACTGGAAAGAATAATATTACATCTCTAAAACCTCAGTGTTGTTGCAACTAAGGAACTTTAAAATTTTTATTTATTTATTTATTTATTTGTTTGTTTGGAAGTGAGTAGTTGAAGCAAAAAGCAGCATCTGAGCTCTCGGAGCATAAACACATAACTTCTGTCCAATCACACGTTAGGTTCTTATGGGTGTGAAAAGTTTCTCACCTCGGGTCGTTACAAGGAGTGGAGGACTCAAAGCTGGAGACTGAATGATGTGATTTTTATCAGAGCTGATTGCAGCAGTTCAGATGGAGTATGTGGAGATGAAAACACTTCAGGGAATCTTTAACACGACTTAACACTTCAGTCAACATTTAAAACCTTGATTTTAGTCATAATTTGTGACAGGAAGGTGCTAGCTACACAAAAATTGCAGACAATAAATTATGGTTACATGTTCTCAATAATTGAGTCCTTGTTCTGGTTTAAACTGTAATTAGACAATAAATCATAT